CAATAGCAGCGTAAAAATTTTGTTATGTAAATTCGAACAAACCGAACATGCCAGAATAGCTAGGAGGACTAAATCATGGACCCCTGATCCTATAACTAAGCATTCATTGCGTATAGAAAGGACCAGAGTCTTTAGAAAATCTTCACCAAGACCAACTGATAACACACGCTTATTCTGTAGACTACCGTGGATTATCAAAGAAAATCAAAGAGAAGTGGCCTTTTTCGAGCATTTCGTAGAATTCGGACCCTTGCTATATCACAAAGTATTGAAAGATTCGAGGGGATCATTGGCCTTGGGATACGTCCAATACTACGATGCAGCTGACGCTAACAGGGCGGTAGAAAGGTGTGATCCGATATATGGCGCAGAATTCGCACAGGTACGGAAACGACGTTGGAATCGGGATCATGAAACCAAACACCATTGGTTATGTGATGAACAAATAGAGCTTACGATTTACGAAGACCATGATAAGACTTGCATGTGGCAACATCAGAAAAGGATAAGGGAGAAAAAGGCTAACGAACGTTATCCAAAATCAGAAGTTAGAAGATCACCGTCACACCTTATAGTCGCAAACACAACTAAAACCGAAATTGACCCCAGAACCCAAGGTAAATACACAATCGATCTCTTCAACCGGGACCAAACAATTGACCACCTTGATTCAGCAGCCCGCGAAAAACGCGAAGTCCATGGACCAAGCAGATACTCCACCTGAAGATAAAATAAGCACAAACACCGACCAAGAGCGCGAATATTTAGGAACTTATGTATAAAATGGGGCAAAAGGGGGAAAGGTGATTATACTAAAACGTTATCTAAAAGTAAATATTTTATAGCTTAAAGGGAATTCTTTCAAACTAAGTATGATCATCTTTGTCACTTTTGTCAATCTTAGTTATATACACGCGCCGACGATTAGATAATACCTTGAATAACTGCATAATTGTAGATACTACCCGCGAAATAATTGTAATACCTCGTCTAACGCTTCTCGTAGTACATTTCGTTTCCGATTTACCTATATTTTATCACTCATCTTTCTAAAGGACCATATTTAAAATTTACAGAAGATCTTTAACATGGACCCACGGCTCAGATATGACGTTGAGCCGATGCTTAATGAGAACTATGGGCTTACAATGATATACATGGACCCAAACAGGAAAGCGGAAGCAATGTGGCTCGCTTGCCAATACGGACCTCTGGAGAAGATGATCGACGTGGCGATTCCCGAGAAATTCAGGGAAAGCCTAGGATGGACGGTCTTCTACTTTGTGAACCCCATTCATGCCCTAGAGGCAATAGAGCAGTTGTTCAACGATCGAAAACCGTTTTCCAAGGAAGTTCTGTGATTGGAAGAGGAATTGCCGTCTTATTATCAGTTTGAGAAGGCAATATTTGGCGGCAACGACCTCTCAGAAGCCGCCAATGAACCAGACTCATCTGACGAAGAGGACGAGCAAAATACCGGCCTGAGTAGTGCCGCACTGGTCCTCCAAACAAAAAACCTTGGTCCTAAACACGACCGCTTAATTAGAATTAACTTCTTACTACCCTATAATTGGACCGAAGTAATGGCAAATAAGGCCTTACTAAAATTTGGCCCTATGGACTACATAAGCTACGTACTAATGCGGAATGGGAAAGGTTCAATGGGGTTCGCCGCATTTATTTATACCTCCGACGCAGAAAGGGTGGTCACGAACGAGCTTGGCCAGTATTTAAAAGTCAGACTTATTCGCCCCAGGATCGTAAGGTACGGCGAAAACGCGTTGGACCTTTATGAAAAACACGATCTCTGCGGCCACTGGATCACCTCTAATGAGCGTAGCAAGCACATGTTACTCTGCGATATGCAGATCGGAGGTAATTTAAGAAAGCATTACTTCTGCGGCAGGTCCATAGAATTAAGAGAATGGGGCCAGCACCTGGAGGGCTGTAGTATTAGGAATGTTGACTATGTTAGTAAAGTAAAACCAAAACAAACATTAATTGACCTCGCTGGACCTACAGAATCAGCGGCAAGGACCAACAACACAGCGCAGGCCATCACGGATGATTTAGCGCGGATAGTAATTTAGGACAGGGTTATTCCCTTATTAAATATATGTGCACACCCCCTTCTTTATACGCTATCATCAATTATAATAATGGACTAGGAATAAAGGACCTATATATTTACTAATTTAGTCACTAATTTATTCCTTACCGACCCATTGCAGACCCTGTGGCTCTTAATACATTGCCGAGGGCGGCAACAATTCTAAGGGGAGAGGAATGTTACGTGACGTCTTATTATTTTACAAATATATACTATCGAATAAAACCTTGCTCTCGGGACTTCCGTTCGGACATATAATAGCTAGCAGTATTCGTGTGCGCGACTCGGTGGGAATGAGCGGCAGAGGCTGATTCACGCTGAGCCAGCATGCTGGGACTGCATGCTGCAGTCAGCGTGCTTAGCTAGGTAAGACGACCCGCTACGAGAAGCGTAAACATCCGAAGCATATACGCGAGAGAGAGACGGTATGCTAGGGACAAAGGCTATATAATAAGCCAGCGAAAGCAGAGCGGCAGAATTAGTCAGTTAGAAGCGAGCGCTCAATTAAGAAGGCCGCATATTCTTTTCCTACTGAAATTAAAACTATAATAGAAGTTTGAGTCTTTGATTGTTTTGAGTTATAATTAAATATTAGAAGTGTCGAGTACGATTGCTTCAATAATTTTGCGTAAACAGAAAATCACAGGAATTATCATATTTTTTGCGTGTTACTACGTTATTGGATAAAGCAGATATTAGACAACTAAAATCATAGCAACTACCATTGTCTAGCGTGTTACTACAGCATTGTAATAATAGTACATTACGATACAAGTGCGCAAAGTAGGCGATTCCCGCACGCGCGAGGTCGGTAACGCGCGTGCATGATCGCCTACTTTTCGCACGCGTATCGTATATTATTTTCTCGTACGAGATGCGAAAAGTTCGATTATACTTTGAATTTGTGAGATGGGTGGAAAAAGAAGGTTTTATAATTAAGGAATAAATGTGGAAAGACACGCAAAACATTTTTTTTCCCCATTGACAATGTAGATAGCGAAAAATATTGGGAAAACGAAGTCCTTTCCCACTCCACGCAACTCATTTTTAAAAATGAAAATTCAAAAACTATCTTCTTGAGGTCCGACGGTAAACATTCTGCCAGTACAAATTTGGCAGTTGTCCTTTCGCGTTTGTCCTTTCTAGTTCCTTTCAATTCAACAAAAATGTCTAAACAAAAGGTGCTACAGAAATAAATTTGGCAAATACAATAGATCTAAATAAACATTAAATTTAAAAACATTTAAATTACATTAAATTTTTATAACTGTAATGTAATCATAAATATGTCTGGAGATAAAAAATAAAATTGATTTTTCCTAGATTTTTTTCATTGGAGAAAATTTATCTTCCTTAATTACAGTAACTGGAGAAAATTTGTCTTCGCCAATTACAGTAATCGGGAAAAATGTATCTTCCCCAGTATTCCCTCGTTAAACTTTGTAGGCATTGACGCATTTTTTCCGTGCGCAAAGTATTTCCCCGTGCGGGAATGGGTTTGCGCATGCGCAGTTCCGTGTTACGATAAGCGTACGGGAATCAAGGGTTTTGCACACGGAAAAGCGTGCGCAAAATCGAACTTTGCGCACGCTGTGCGAGAAAAAATATATTGGACCAGTTGAATCTGATTACATTGAAAGGAAAGGTGATTGGCCATATCACGAAGCGAATAATAATTTGGACCAAATTATATTTACTATAATAATACGAAGTGAGTAATACTATTATATTTTTATGTAACCAAAAAAATACTAGATATCGCAACGCGAAAATTACGCGTCTGAGAATATATATATCTCTATTCTGCTTAATTTATTTATGTTAGAAAAGAGACTAGAATAAATATTATAATTGTAAACATCCATAAGTGTATCCATATGCTTCCCCACTACATTAAAGAGAATCGCTATTACAATTTTGCTTTCAATAAATAACCGAAGAACGTTATAAACGTTCAATTATTTATTTTACAAAAACGATATTGAGTGTCAAATTATAATTAACACGGATTTCATTATCGATGCGGGAACGGGCCGGGGTGCCCGAAAGCCTGACTACCGCCCGAGTCTAAGGCCGCTCGGCTGTTAAAAGAGCCTTCGTACGGGACAAACTCGACTCGCACGAGTTGTCACGTATCAGTGATAATATATGTTTTCTCGCGATACGTTTTTCGCGTTCAGTTTTTCTACTAGTTTAACTAGAATTTTGATATCTTCTGACCTCATACATATAAAAGACTAATCATAACACAGGCCGACATCCTAAGAAATCTAAATTAATATATTTCCGAAGGTATTCTATGTGCTGGATCCGAATCTTATTTGAAAGTGCAAAAATTACTATTATTTATTATATTCGAGGTTATGTAACACTGTAAACACATTTTATTCCAATGATAATCATGAAGAATTTCTTATTTTATGGTTGAATTACTATTTGTTGAATTCCATGACTTTAAACCGGTTACCGGATTAAAGTTTAAATTATTAAAATATGTTACCGGACATTTATCCGGTAACACTGTACCAATGTTATCGACGAAATTTTCTAGTGCATTGTTTATTATTAGAATAGCATATTTTACGTAATATTTTTAAATAATTGAAAATTTTTTCATGCCTATCAGAGTACGTAAAGGTAAATTAATATTAATAAATCATTTAAGTAACATCCAAAAATTTTACATATAACAAAACAATTTATAGACTGTATTTATTCAAATTTGATCTATCTATAATCCGCATATATTGATTTTAGAAATCTTAGTATGTATTTTCACGTGATAAGAATTGCAATTATTTACATCCCATCATATTTTTATAATTATAATAAAAACAGTACTTGAAACCTATTTGTCACTATAAATATTAATTTAAGATTTCTTTTCTAGTTAATGGAGACCGATATTCGAAAAGAAGTAGATGCTGCCGTAACTTTGGCAAAAGCTGATAAGGAAATTCCAATTGATGAACTTGTAACTGATATCTATGCATTAAATTTGGAACACGAAATTCGCAATGTCACTCCGTTTAATCCGTTGAATCATAATAATATGGGACCTGCAATTAACAAATAAATTTATGTGGTTCAAGATGTGTACATCTGTATGTAGACATATGATATAGAAATAAATATATACAAAGAATATCCCTTTGGAATTTGATGGAAACAATTTATCGTTAATATATTAGAAAATAAGAACAGATAAAATATGTATTTTAATAATAGCTATTAATAAATTATTTATATCAATAGCTCTATGTTTATTTATGATAAGTTCTGCTATCGCTCGGAGGATCGAAAAAAATGAATCAGTTTTATAAACAAGATGACAATTTCACGATAAATATGGTATCCAATCGAAAAACAAATACTAAAGCAACTGAAAAATTTTTCATGATTATATTGTCGATTGCTATAAGTCAACTAAAAGTTTATTGTGAATTTTGTTAAATAAAATAAACAATATAATCCAGTTACTAGCCATAAAATAATACATAGCAATCAGAAAATGCAATACAAAATACGATCAAGAAGTTACACGACACAAGTCATACTGAGAAACAATGAGAAAAACACGAGCAGAATACAAACATAATCATATTAATATATCGAATTCTTTTCAACAAAAAGGATATGAAAATATTTCACAGAACAAAAGCTTATGAAATAATATGGTATGAGATAACCAACAACAATAAATATATTTAAAAAGATTAAAAATACTATTTTAATGTTTACTGACATTGAGTATCCTCTTGTCTGTTCATAGTCTCTCTTCTGTTAATAGTATTACTGTATGTATAAATAAATATCGTTTAGGAAATTACTATTTTATTCTTACTAATCACTTTATCTAAAATTCGAACATTGTTAAAATCAAAACGGTGTGTCAGATTATCAGTAAGATGTTTAGGTGTCGGTAGCTATTTATCCATTGGAGTATTTTTATGTTTCTTAATTCTTTTTTTGAGTTTCTTTTTTGTCTGTCCCAAACATTTATTACATTGAAATTTATTCAGCACATTTTTATATTTAGCACCCGAACATTTATTACATTGAAACTCATAAACAATACAAGTTTCTAACTACATTTCATTTTGCTCTTTATCAAGTTTAACAATATTATTTAATTTATAACTCATGTGTGGAAGAACCCGTATTTTATACTTTTTTAATGCAATTTTACCAGAGTAAGAAAATTGTTAATGGTACGTAATGAAATTCTAAAGAGTGACCCAAAAAAAACCCAATTTTTCGCCCGTTTCGTCGAGTCAAGTCGATCAAGTTGAGCTGTCAAGTTGAGCTGTCAAGTTGAGCATAGTTTCTATTTTTGAGATATGACGAGTTAAACTTGTATTGTAGAAAATAATTAGCATTTTTGCTAAAAATCTTTGATTAATCAGTATTTTTATACTAAAAACATACCAAATGGATGGATTTATATACCAAGCATTTCTAGGAGTTGCTGGGTTTAGCGAACAATCAGATCTCTGCTGAATTTAGGTGCTGTCGAGCCGACGGTGGAAAACTTCTCTTAAGAAATAGTTGCGTATATTACTTTACATAGTTTGAGTGATGAAAATGTAAACTCATCGCTTGCAAAAAGTGTAGTTGTTTTCACCTTTCGACAAATGGATATCATAGTTTTCTAGAAGGATTTCATCACGATATGATGTTTTCTTAAATAATATCTAATCTTATCCAAACTATTGTAAGGATACATAATTGTATGCATGCAATAGAATTGTAATAACCCACCCGCAGGCTCTCTTGCGCAACAACTTGATTTTTGGTTTCCTAAATAATCACTTCGTGTTTATTTATTTCTTCCCTATCCCCTCAACCAGTGCTTCTCAGCGCTCTCCTTCGCCCAGGCCAAGAACATCTGATCAGCTTCGCCAGGAGCCCCGAACCCTGTAGGTCAAGGGCGACCTGGCGCGCCTCCTGCTCGCCCAGACGCTCAACAGGCTCGCCTACATCAAAATCAATTTAAAAAAAATCTTTTATACAGTCGAAGTTTTTCAGCTCGGTTTTGTTTCTGACCTTTGACTCCAATTGAGGGGCACCAAACGTAAACAGTCAGGGCAATGTAAACGCTATTAAAGGCACATCCTCCCCTTTTGGCCTCGCGGCTCCTCTGAACCGAAAACTGCGACGCGTCAATTCTCGGAAGGCGTAAATCTATATATATATATACTTTGAGACAATTATTTTTTTTTTCATCTACTATGCCATTCAAAATATGCTTAGGTTGTAACGAGCAAAAACGCTCAAAAAATGACAAGTTTTATGGAATGAGTCATTTAGAGAATCCATTATTGACGATTAATTGTTTACGCCAAACTCAAAATGCTAAGAAACGAAAACTAGAAGTTCTACGTGATATGCCGCAAAATGGTCAGCTATGTAAAAGTTGTTATGAAATATCCAAAAAACCGAAAATATCACAATTAACTGAATCAGACACGCCTGATTTGTCAATTTATCGTAGAGGCAATAGCTCTCACGGGAGATGTACATTTGGCTGTCAGAATATTCAGAACTTGATTTCTGTACCGAAAGCGATTTCTCATGAGCTCCTTATGAACTACAAATTCTTGATTCTCCCAGACTCACGCATGTGTAGTTCACATATTGGTATTCCTAATTATTGGCCACTTGTTAAGCAAATATCTGCAATTGTCAGTGAAAAGGAACAAGAAAGTGTTTCTAATATAATGTACAAATACTATCAAGAAATGAAAAGCTCTCAAAAAGCTGTATTTGACATCAACGCAATAGATCGTATTGGTGATGAAATATTTAAAGATTGGTTTGCTTATAGTATAATAGAATTTCAACGAATTTGTTCTTATGCTAAAACTTGTCAACCTAAACACATAGCGGTTCTCTTGTGCAAGTTACGTACAAGTCTTTCCAATAATCAACTCGCATTTCTCTTCGGAGTTAGCGATCAAACTATTGCCAATTATATGAATTTAGCCAGAGAAGATCTTCTAAAGAACTTAGTTCCTTAGTTCCAATTCATAAATAATAATTATCGCTCAGTGTTATTATCACATAACACTGAAATGGCAAAAATATTATTTGATATAACAGATGACAAGGCATGTCTTGTTTTTGATGCTACGTATCGGCTAGTTCAGAAATCATCTAACTTCGCAGGACAGAAACAACTTTGGAGTGAACAAAAGAAGATGCCTTTAGTGAAACCCATGGTGGCTTGTGCGCCTGATGGATATATTCTATTTGTACTGGGTCCGTTTGACGCACGACATTATGATGCAACTATTTTAGAAGATTGTTTCTGTAGGTTCGCAGACAAATTGCATACGATTGCAGAAGGTGATCATATTTTGGTTAACAGAGGTTTTAGGGACGTTTTGCATTTTTTAACAGAAAGTAAGAAATTAAATGTTCATTGCCCTGGACTTGGCCAACTTGAGACGATGGAAGCAAATATGTCTAGATTTGTCACAAAATGTCGCTGGATTATTGAACAAGTTTTCGGCCGCCTCAAAAAAAAGTTCAAATATTTTTCTTTGCCAGCCCATAATGCAACATTAACCCATTAAAGCCCACGCTAAGACTGGTTGAGATAGCGACAAACAAACTGTGCTATCTTTTGCATAAGTGAAAAATAAAATATACGTATTTTTTTTATGTTATTTTCAATTGTTTATAACAAATTATTTAAACAAATTACAAAAAAATTCATAATTATCAAAATCTAAATGCGGGAATCGATTCTGGAGGTGAAATCAAGACGAAAACCTATATAACACTTTTTTATCAGAATTCAATTTGTTAGTGTAACGTAGGAATAAACAATTGCATGTTGGGGAGAAAAAGTGACCATGTCAAGTCCCAAGCAAAATCTATCTGGAATAGCAAAAAATAAACTGTGCTATCCTTTGCATAAGTGAAAAATAAAATATATATATTTTTTCTTATGTCATTTGCAATTGTTTATAACAAACTATTTAAACAAATTATAAAAAAATTTATAATTTTCAAAATCTGAATGCGGAAATCGATTCTGGGGGTAAAGTTTAGACGAAAACCTATATAACACTTTTCTGTCAGAGGCCAATTAGTTATTGTAATGAAGGAAGAAACATTCGGCCTCCTGAGAGTGTTTCAAAAAATCGTATAAAATGAAGCTAATTATTGTATTTATCCATCAATATTGGCATGAATTATTGTAAATATAATCGGTGGGATTGAATTATTGTTCATTGCCATGTCCTTCTTTATGACTTTTGCAAACAGGCATAGAACATTTCTCACAATACCATTCCGTTCTTGTCCGACATGTTGAAATTCCACATTTCCTAAGACTCCCATGTTTCATCACGTGTTCTTGGGATGAAGTTTCACTCTGTTTCTGTCGTTTGGGGGGACGTTTGGAAGATAACTTGTCAATATAATATTCACAAACTTCTTGAACAATATCTTTGGAACCTTTTCTTTCGTCTAGATGTAACTTATTGTAAATCACTGTAGCGTTTGCTAAGGATGCTTGGATGAGCCGTAATACAAGGCACCATGTCCATTTCTTACTTCGAATTGTAGGCATCAAAGCATTACAGTGTTGATCATGTAGATCGACGTCACCCATGTGTTCATTATACATAGAGAAACAATGAGGAAAAAGAATAGATTTTTTCGATGATTCCTGCCATCTCTGCATTTCAACTTTTGGTTCATTTCCATATTTCGAAGAGAGAATCGATACTGGCTTTGAGTCCATAACTGTAATATAATTCAATTTTGAATTCACTTCATGCATTGAAATAGTGTATCCTCTTTTAGCTTTTTTTGGCATTTCGACTTTCACTTTCACACGATTATGCCGAACAGTTCCTGTCGCCGATAAACCATTTTTTTTCAAATGAATCATAAGATCTGGGTTTGTGAAAAAGTTGTCAAAATAAATATGATACTTTTTCAGTTCTTCTCTCTGTGTTTTTTCTAATAAATTCGAAAGTAACTTTATCACCACTCTAGACCCTAAACCAACGGCAACTAAAGGATTTCGTTCATCGATTCCTGATTTACCAGTGTAAATATCAAGATCATATATATACCCATCAGAAGAACAGACTGCCCATTCTTTTATTCCAAATCTAATGGGTTTATTCCTTATACATTGCTTGATACCAAACCTACCAAAGTATTTTACCATTATCTCATCTATTGATAAATTATAGTCAAAGAAACCAAATTGCATACAATTCTCACGAAACATATCATACAGAGTTCTAACCTTCCAGACTTTATCATTTTGATCAGTTTCTTGAAGTTTATAGAATCGTATGTTCTTTTTTATGGCAACGAAATTATTTCTAGACATAAGTTCCGCAATTACTAGACACTGAAGTATTCGCTTTTTTGACCAGTAATCACGAATACTTTTTCTAGAATTGAAGATAGTAATCATTATGATTGTAATAAATTTTTCTAGATCATCCATACATAAATCAAAATGATTTTCAGAAGTGGCTTCAATGATATGGTTTTTCATTGATTTCGAAAAGAAAACCTCAAACAACTCAAAAGCATTTTTGGATTGCAATGATGAAATAGGTGAATTATTGAAGTTGCTCTCGACATGCGGAGAAATATCATTCAAAGCATCATTTTTCCAACTGTACTTATGATTCGGTTCCAACAATTTCTGAGTACTTGTGTATGTACTTTTAACATGTTCGTAAGAACCTGATGGTAATTCATTTGATAATGTATCTTCATTTGGATCACCGTCCGAATCTCCATCTGAACTTTCATATTC